TATATAAAATATTATTTAATATAAATAATATTTTATATATTATTATGTTAATTTACAATACTTATACTATATAAAATATGTTAATTTATATATAAAATTACTACTATATTTTTATAATGAATAAAAATTATTTATACAAATATATATAAAAAAAAAAATCTATAAAAATTATATTAGTAATTAATATAATGAATAAATTATTTATACTAATATAGTAGGTACTATAATTATTAGTACAATTATACTAAATATTAAGTACTATATTATTATATATACTAATTATTAGTTTATAAAAAATTAAATTAGTATTTAGTACTACTAATAGTATAATTTATTCATCACATTTAGTATATTAGTACAATTTATTCATCACATTTTTCCTTCCCTTTATTTGTTTTATTCCATTGTTCATCATATTTTTTTCCTTCACATTTAGTATATATTATAAATTAATAGTATAAAATTACATTAATTTGTTATAGGAAAATAAATATATTAGTATAAAATTATTAAGTTATATATATTAATTAATTATCTTATAAAATAAAATTTATTGATATTACGTTAGAAGTTAGAATTGATTATATAATAAATTACAAATTATTATTATTATTTTGAGATAAGTTATAATTTATTATTTTTGTAAAAATATTAACATACATCATAACATATTGCAGGTGCCACTCGAAGATTTTGGAGGAGACGGTGAAGATTATCGATGTTGTTTCGCTACAGACGAACTATTTCATACTCCCGAAAAAGCTATTGAATGGGCAAAAGTCATTGCAACAATATGGGGTTTCCATTTGGTCATCTCGAGACACAATAAGGATGGAACGGTTCGGACGTTGAGGTGTGATCGAGGGGAACGTTACAGGGGCAAGGCAGGAAAACTAGAAAATTTAGTGAATACTGTCTTGAGACGTTCGAAGACGAAATATACTGGCTGTCTTTTTCAGATAAATGTGAAAAAGGAAGAGTTATCCAAAAAATGGTGTATCTGGTTTCCTTTAGAGCATATTGTATAGTTTTTTATATTTTCGGTACGGACAGGTCAGCAGAGTGCATCGGCGAGTGGATGGACTGATCATGATTATTTTCGGCGGCTTGCCGAGGAGGTTGAAGCGGCCGATCCTGCGACTGTACGGTACCTGAACCATGTCATCGCCTCTCAACTTCATCCTGATGAACAGGGATACAAAGAACCTGAAGTTAAGGAAAATCCGAGAGGTCGCCCCAAGAAGAAAAATTCAACAAAACGCGATCCATCGAGTTGGGAGTACACTACTGGAGGCCGTACGGTGGGGCGTAAAAGCACTTCTTCGTGTGCTCCATCGCACTCGGGGTACACGGAAATAGGTCATAAGCCGGGGCGTAAGAGTACTTCTTCGTGTGCTCCGTCGAAGTGGGAGTACAGGGAAAGTGGTCGTCCGGGGACTCGTACAAACACTTCTTACTCATCGTCTCAAGATACGACAGGTAATTTTATTTGATTTTTTTACTTGAACGATGACTAATTATGTTTGTAAATTTAATTACTTAAATAAATTGTGATGTGAAATTATTTTGATATTATAGATACTTTCGAGACGGATTTCTTTCAATATCGACATTGTGGTAGGATTCCCTACGTAGTTCACAGCTACGTACAGAGTTATCTGGATGTGAAGCCGGACGGGAAATGCGGACTCCGGGTGGTTACGAGTTACATTTATAGGGATCAGGAGATGTGGCAACTGGTAAGAACTAATGTTGCAAATGAGGTTGCAGCCAACACACATTTGTACGCTCCTTTTTATTGGAATGGGGTCGACGTCGCAATCGATCGTATAAGATGGGACGGGGGTCCTTGTGGCTGGGAGCATTGGATGGATGCTTATGGCGACCTCGTTGCTATTGCTACACTGTTTAATGCAGTTGTTGTGTTGTTAGGATATGGTCCCAACAATAACAATATGAATATGGCCAGTATGACGCTATTCCCGCTCCGCGCATCATTCACGGCTACACGACCTGACCGTGAGATCGTTATAGGTCATCTTGGTTCCTACGAGCACTTCATTCGTGTGAATCTGTGTTCTGATTTTCCATTGCCGCTTATGTGCATGTTTTGGGAGAGATTCCGAGATGTTTCGGTTGCACATTGGCCGGATCAGTACCAGAGAGGTTCCAGTTGTGGCATGATATTCGTACTGCAGCTGGAGTATAGATTGTGAGTATATATTCTTATGCGGTATATTTTGGCTTATGTTTGCGGTTTTTTTTTTTATTTTAT